TGTTGTTGTTGTTTTTACAGCACCTATGCACTGCCAAGGAAATTATCAATCCATCCAGTTTCTGAATGCTTTATCCAACACACTGTAGGGGCAGAGGGAGCCAGAGGCTATCCTGACAGACAAAAGACCAAGGCAAGGTACTCCCTGCATGGGACATCAGCCCATCACAGGACACACAGACACACACACTCACACCAGTGACAATTTTCTCAGAAGCCAGTTAACGTACCAGTATGTCTATGGATTGTGGGAGGAAACCAGAGCACCCGGAGAAATCCCAGCTAAATACAGGGAGAACATACAGTACTGTACAAACTTCATTCAGATAGTACCGCAGGACCAGAACTGAACCCAGGTCCCCAGTATTGTGAGGCAGTAATGCTAATCACTGCACCACTGTGCTACCCTGGAAGTTACCCATGTTATGGAAACACTACTCTATGAAAAGTTTGGGTTATTTTTTTATTTATTTGTATCTCAAAATGTTTCTACATACATCTTTGGAATTAATAATGAATTTAACTTGCTGTGTCCTAGCATTTGAGGCTCTCTGCCCTGCCTCTCCTCAGGGGCCTTCTTTGTGCATTTTCTCAGTACTTTTGGTCAGTTGTTCTTCCATCCTGAAACTGCCAAAACCTATTGCCAACTGCTACAACATTTAAGGTGTCCAGGGAAAAACAATGGAAAGAGACTGAAGTTTTCTTTTTATTGTCTTATTCAATGAAATAAAAAAGTAGAATGCTGCATGTATAACATGGAATATCTTAGTTAGTTTGTTTGTTTGTCTGGGAAAGCTCACTAAAAGTTGCGACACGTGCAAAAGTATTTCTACATTACAAACTATATATTCTGCATAAATTATGGGCTGAGAAGTTTAAATGCATAATCAGCAATACACTTCTTTAAATTTAATTGACATGTTTTAAGAGGGGTAAATTAACAGAATGAATTAGAAAGCAGCATAATAAGACCTGATGCTTAACAGTGATAGAGAGTAAAGATCTAACACAAGAGAACAGGGAACTAATGATTTCTCTTTTGTGTTGCCTCTGCAGACAACCAAAGCATCATAATTAGAATTAGTGTATATTACCTCTAAGGCATGCTCAGCTGTAAACAAATAAGCACCATTTCAAAGATAAGTCATGCAAACTTGATACAAGTCTTTACAAATTCAATTAAAAATAAATTACTAATCAACTGGATCCAGAAACAAATCATAACCAAAACTAAACCTTCTAATGACCAAATTATGAGGAATGTTGTCTACCAGACATTCAGGGTATATGATTATTTGCTGAACTATTGGCTGACTAATGTTCTTTTCACAGTCTTATCAGTGATAGAACTACATCATTATCCTTAAATATATTAGTACCTGTATTTAAGAATACCAAGGTCACTAACATTACTATTTAACTTATTAACTATAATAAAACAAATTATTAAGTCCCAACAAATGTATCTTTTTTCCATCAGTCCAGTAGTTTGGCCCAAGCCTGATTAGGGTGCAGCAGAGGTGTGATTTGAATTACATGCTTTATTGTCTGAAACTGCCTGTTTGAGGTAACAGCAACCTAACAGTAAGGACACAAGTGTCAGAACATTCTTCCCCCTCATTGTACACAGGATTAGACAGGGAGCTATTTCAAGGGTGATGACAGGGTTGGTATAGGGTTTGTGAATGATAATGTGTGAGCAGGTGCTCTAGAGTTGTGATTTTTATATGTAGGAGAGCAGAAGTGGGCAAGACTAGGGGTTGACCTGCTCCTGAACTTTCGTTTATAATGCAATTTCATGATTGTTAGAAATACATATTACATTGAGTGTGATTAGCATCTTGGAAGCCTTCTTTAATCAAAATAGGAATAGTTTGCATTACTTGTCAACCTTTAGATATACAGTACAGTTCTTTTGATTAGGACTTGCTTCAACATGAGGAAGAAACCTTTATAGATTTGACATTGCTTTCCTCCTATACAGTACTGTATGTACTGTCTTGTAAACTTTTTAGCTTTTTAACCCCTCGCCCAGAACTGTTTGCAGTAAAGCTCTGCTCTAGATTTGTAACAAAATGGTGGCTCGTTGACTGAGTCATTAATGTAAAATTTAAAATATACTTTGGCAAACTTATACAGTATAAACATAACACAGAGTGGCATGGGTAACTGTCGTGAAATGCCTGTAGAAGTTCAATACAACCTCTAGAGCTGTCCTCCACTGTAAGGTATCTCCCATGTCTCTTTTACTTTTTCTGTCTGACAAGTTCCATTTCCCTGCAATTACCTTAGCCCTGTTTATCAGTGAACGTGCCAAGTAAATTTAGACTCAATGTATACATATAAAGAAGTCTTCTAAAGGAGGAGAAATATCTCTTGACTTACTTTTGCTGTGAATTATATTTCGGAGCACAATACAAGGTGTCAAGTGGGACTGTGACAAGCAGTAATGAGGTGGAAATACAAAGAAAATCAGACACAAACTAATAGATTAGAACATGTTTCATGCTCTATGAAACTGAATATATGCATGCAGAATTCTTGCATAGTATGTCTATGCCTTAAAACACGCCTTTGTCTTTTTAAAACACCTGACATTTATTTTCCAGTGAAACATAGTAAAATCATTGTAATGGCCCTAGTTTTGTCTATATGTATTGGCAAATGTATATTGAATCTATTTATGAAATCAACACAGCTCAGTTTGTTTGTCATATCCAAGATAGAAGCAGTGTGCGCACTCTTGCGAAGGTAATTAATCACATCTTAATGGTGCAAATACAAATCGATTGTAGGGGCCTCTAACATTTCAAGCTTGAGATTAAAACATTAAGCGAATTAAGGAAGGTTTAACATCTTGAGATGAAGCAGGATTCTTAACGTGACTTCCTCCTCAGCAAATATTTTAGACTGCTTGGTGCTGTAGGGAATCTGGACTACTATGCAGTTGTTAGCCATGTTCTATTGTTAACATTTCAGACACTCCACTGCTCTCAAATGTTCCTGAATAAACTTTAAATGTCATTTTTGCACCACAGGTCTTTTTTGAAAAATGGCTGAAGTGAATGGATGTGTTTCTCCACTGCTCTCATCTTCTTGCCTCTTTACTTCCATTCTCTGTTGGGAAGACTTTCATGCAGAACATGCGTCACTTTCAATATTGTCATAATGACCCCCACTCCAGGATGTGTAAGCAAAGTTCTTGCTGTGTCTTTGTTCCTCCAAGACGCACTCTAAGGACAGACCTGTTTTGATTCATTTCACAGCTGCATTCTTTCCTTGATGTGTTGGTAATTTTCTTTTGTTTCTGCTCTAGCCTCCAATTTGATGGTGCCTAGGCCTAAGATGACAATGAGATAGGGATAACAGATGATGAGTTCAGCACACTGAACACAATAATACTCCCTTAGCTCGCACCTACAGGCAATATGTCACTTTCACAGAGTAACTGTTCTCTGCTGGGCAAAAACTTGTAATTTAAAATGCCCAGGAACCCCAAAATATATTTGCTTTAGTGCACACAGCCTGTCAGAAAAGGCTTTAAAGTTGTGAA